GGGGGGGGGGGGGGGGGGGTGTACCTGTGCACACATGCTTGCAGCTCTGCTGATACACCCAATGGTGCTGAAACACACCTGACCAAAAAAGGGACATAAGGCAGTTACCTATTTCACATTAATAGTGTGGCCAAAAACCAGCACATTTACAAGCTACTTCTGGCAAGTGTGTGAACAGAGCTGCCCACTTGAAAGCAGCCAGCCCCCTGCTGTCTCCTACAGCCTGCCTGCCAGCTGCACCCCTCCCCCCATGGCTTTTGGCCTGCTCGCCCTTTCTACGTGTGTGTGGCTCAGTCATGGTCTGGTTCTGTAGTCTTGTTCTAAATAGCTGCTCTGCTCACAAACCATTTTTTTTTCAGTATCAGACAAGTCCTGTTCCTGTCCTTACTGCCCCAGGGCCAACCTCAGATAGGATGGATGGAGGGGTGTGATTCTAGCCGAGACTGGCTGCTTTGACCTGTACATCCTGAAGATAGTTTGCAGCATGTTGCCAAGTTGCCTGTTACTGTGCGTCTCACCCATTCTTCTTGCTAGGCCTTGAGGTCTGACAAGTACAGGAGGAGATGTCCGGTCCATCCACAATCGTGTGCTGAATCCAGGGCTGGGCTGGATCCTGTGCTAATAGCCAGCTGCCTTCCCCATCTTCCTTTTATCAGAATAGGCAGAGATGCACCTCCCTTCCCTTGAAACCCCCTGCACGACATTAAGCATTAGAGGATTTGGCTGGTCTCTGTGTCCTCTTTCTAGCAATCCTTTCTTAACATTCTGAAAGGGAAAGAGCAAAAAAAATCACTTCAGTGTAGCAGTCCTGTGCTCCAGCTGCCCCTATTGTCCCTAGGCAGGAAAACAGGGTGTGTAGCTGAGTACAATGCCAGAGAATTGCAGGTGCAGTAGCTGGCAATGGGATGCAGAACAGTATTCAGCATTACGCCAGTGACACTATATCCTCCTTTGGGATACATTTTCACCCCACAAAAAGAAGGCAAGAAACAAGGGCCAGGACAACCAGTGGAAGCACCTCACCTCATCAAAGCCCTTCTCAAACTGGATGCTGGTGGTGTTAACATGGAAAATGTGCTCTTCAATGGCTTCCTTGAGGTCATAGCCAAACCAGAGTTTGTTTATAATGGCCTGCAATGAAAGCCAACATTAATGAGGTGAAGGATAAGTAATGGGGTAAAATCCAAGTCTCATGTTTGCTCTTGTAACTGCCAAATGAAGCCCATTGGGTTGGTGGACTAAGTCCTGCTTGCACAGTGGGAAAGTTCAGGAACTTAAATAAGAATGTACTTGAAGCAACACCACCCAAGCTTGGTTCCAGTATTATTTTGCTCCAGGCTTAGCTCAATGGCTGTAACAGCTGTACACAGTGAGCCATCGGGAAGCAAATTCCACCTCAGCTGGCCTTCCTTGGCCTGAGACAGCTACAGTACAAGAGGGGAGCCCATCAGGCCCCGGGTCTTACACCACTCACAGGCCCTAACAGCTCCCAAGAAAGGGACAGGCTTAGAATCAGTTTTGTTTTCCCTTGCGTCCTCCACCAAAGCACTTTGCATTTACAGGTGACAGTCTTCCCAGCAGCTCTAGGTTCTCTTGGTAACATCATCGTGGGCACTTGTGCTGGGCTAAGTGTGTCCACTGCTGGCTGCCAGGAGATAAATGCACACTCTCAGAGATTAAATGAGACACCAGCTAAGTGACCCACAGGGGATGATCAGACATTAGAAGCATGAACACAGAGCAGGGTTCATCAATTGCTACTATTAAGGCTAGTTGGCAACTTAGCCTACAACAGCTTTCACAGTCTTTTGGCTAAGAGATACAATAATTAGCTCCAAAGCTAGAGAATTATTCCTAACCACAGAGGACAGGTTGTCCCCCAGGCCAGAGGATGGGCTGTGCCACTGGGTCTCCCCACCCTCACTCACCAAGGCAGTAGCGCTGATAATCAGTTCCCCACCTGAGCCGCCAATCACCAGCATGGATTTCTTGTCTTTGGAGAGAAGAATGGAAGGAACCATAGCAGAGGGTGGTCTCTCTCCTACAAAAGATAAGGCTTGAGGTATTGGTTGCTGTGCTCAGAAGGAAAGAATCACCACTGGAAAGCTGGCTCTCCCCTACCACCACCCAATACCCAAAGTCAGGAATTCCCCAGAGCAATTCAGCTTCCCATTAGCTGGTCCAGAAACATGAATTGTGGAGGTTATCTTTATGCCCAAGCTCTGTGAAGGCCTGGTCCTTTAAGGTGTTCTGGCAACACATCTTACCACTGTAGTACTTAGCTGCCTTGCATGTATTTGTGACCTGATGGCACCAGGCACCCATAGGTACTAACCCAGTCACATTAATAGCTGCAGCAGTGCTGGTCACCATCCTGGAGACAGTGACCTTCACTGAAGCATGGATGGCAAAACTTACCCACCACAGTAGAAACCTGAATGACATCACCATGCACTAGCATTGCCTGTAGGTCTGTAAATACCAATTAAGCACTATTATGCACTGATTCATGTCCTCCTTATCTGAGCAACAAAGTCCTGCAGTCCAAGAATCTCCAAGTCATAGGTGCTGAAAAAACAGCAGCATTTAGTCCCTTGTGACCAGTAGGTTCTGCTCCAAGTTCAGCATTTTTCTATGCATCTAATCCTTTGCCAGTTCATTTTTAGGTTGCAGATACTGCCCCAGTGGTGTTTTGTTCTGCACTTGTTCAGAGCAAGCTCCTTCATACCAGGTCTTGCCAGAAAGGGTTCAATAGGGTTCAAAACTCAAAATGTTGAGGCATCCACAGGTGGTCACAGGCTAGGTCCATGGGCAAAGCATGCTTTACACCCCTGGCCAGAGAAGAAGCAGTGACAGTGCTCACCTGAAGATAAGCTTATCTTCTTCCGGCAGAAGTCAGCAAGTTCATTATTTAAGATGATCCCAGTACTATTAGAATAGACCATTGAGCCAAACCTGTACGGAGGTTGGGGGGTGGGAGGGGAGGAGGAGAGAAAGGGCACATGGGAAATGTGATGATTACACCAGGGATCACCCACAGACAGAGGGGAGGCACAGGGCATGTGCATTACTGTGTTGACTAGTTTAAGAAGAGCAAAGGGTTTTAAACCTTTTAGATGGCTAAGTTATTAAATCAGTGTAAATAATATTCCATTATCCTAGTCCTGAGACATGGGTGAAAGAGGGTTTGGTACAACTAAGACACTTCTAATTCCTAAGCCCGCTAAGCCCTATGTTTTAAAGGCATCAGACCCATTCTAGTACCTTTCAGTACATGACTTAGCAATGAAAATGTTTTGCCTGGCACTTAAGATGCTATAATGTTGGACTGTAGGTTTAGCCCCTGCTTTGTCTGGGAACAACTGGACTCAGAGCACTACCACAGAAGCAAAGAGTGTATGAGAGCTTAGTGTAAGACTCCCCAGCGATAATTTTGTATCCCTGATCTTCCTTGCTCCTAACAGTCATGTTGTTCATAACCATCTTGGGGTCAAGCAGCTGGATGTGCTTGTAGGTCACACAGGGAAAAGGGCTGTGTCCATGTTGATATAGTTCCAAGACATCTGGGGACAACAAACCCACCAGAGTACCAGCAGCCTGCATACATGATGGCAACTGCCAAGTGAGAAGGCAGAGAAGAGGCAGCAGAGAGCCAAGAATAAAGCCAGTTCTCCAGACGACCAAGATGGGGAGCAGCTGTCCTTCAGCTGGACAGTACCTGTACTTGGAGATTCCCAGAACCCTGTTAATGGCTTCAGTAGAAGCCCAGTCATGCTCTCCCAGTGCAACCAAATAACAAGGTTTGCAACCACTCACGGGTAGTTGATGGTGCTGGTGGCAGACACAGCGCTGCCATCTTTTGCGATGACAGACACATGGGTGGTACCATGGCTTTCTTCTCCCAATGGCGTGATGTTATAGTACTTGTCCACATGGTTACCTTTCTCGGTTATTCGCCTCCTGGCATCTTCAGCGAAAGCATCAGACAGGAGTTTCTGGATCTTTGCCTAGGAATAAAGCCCATGACAGTGAGGTCACATTTCCAAAGCTTAGAAATGCTGCTCCAAGCTGTGGAGGGGTACACAGGGATTTAACACCAGGTGATGGGAGTCAGAGGCTCTACTTCATACTGCAAACAAACATTCTCAGCATCCATCACCTGGCTGCTCCTTACAACCAGTCTCAGACAAGACTAACATTGGCTACCAGATGCTGCCACTTTCAAATTTAGCACTATGTTGAGTAACAGACCGCATAAACTGTTTGGAAAACACAGGGTCCAGTTCTGCCACCCTCCTTCAAGCTACTCAGCACTCTGCTCAGTTGCCTGTTTTGCTAATGCCAGGTCTCAGAATACACAAAAATGCTTCTGTGCAGCATCTTAATGAACCCCCCATAGGTCTTCACAATTCTCTTGGAAGGTTTATTTCAAGCAAGTGGGAGGCTGGTGGAGTGTGCAACAGAGCAGGAACAACAGCGCTGCATCAAAACACTAATGCAGAAAAATGTCCCAAATTATCTGCTGCCTTAGCCTGCAATATCTCCTATCAGACATCTGATGGAGAGTCAGAAAGGGACGGTCAAGTCTCTGTATGGCTGCGGTATACAGTGATAGGGAGATGCACAAGCTCAGAAGACAATAGAGACTTGATGGGTTTGGGGATCTTGAAACATATCCATAAGGATGACTGGACACAAACACAAGCATCCAGCTGATTTCCACCACTGTCAGGTGATAGCACAGCAGGGCAAACCTGAGACCTAGCACCTGTGGCTGCTTCTCCTGCCATGCTCGCTCACCTTTTCTACACCAGAGAAATCTGGGTCATTCAGTTTGGGCTTCTGCCCATTGCCAAACTTCATGGCCTCTACAATACGATGGTAGGTCTCAATCTTCCTATTGGGTGTCTCCACAGACTGTGCAGTGAAGTCAAATCCTAGAAAGCAGGGTCAACCAATGTGGTTAATGGAGCAACGATGAGACACTCCACCAGTTTCTTATGTCATAATCCCATCCTCCTACTAAATGCAGCTTCTCTGCCCAATCCCACTGCTTAATTTCTTCATACCAGAGCAGCTTGGTCCAGCAGCCTGGACAACAGGCAGTCTTGACTTCGAACCCAATTCCACCTCTAGCACAGATTCTTTTTGTGACCTTGAAAATAAACTCTGTGATTTTCTCTGCTTCTGTTCCCTCCACCTCTGTCTGCACAATGGTCATGACAGCAATGATGCCTACCTAGCTAACAAGCATTAGTAAAGTTCATACTTCTACTGTCCTATTACATTGCCACTTCTGACCCTTCCAGTCAGTTTAGAATGGATGAAGCCCCATGCTGAAATCTGCCAAACTATGCCCTCCCCTTTGCAGATTACCTTTCAATATGTTGAGGATTAATAAGAGAACAAAACCTCCTGCAGGTGGTGGTGGAGAATATACTGTGTAACTGCCTAGAGAAATATTCAAGGGTTGTGTCACTTCTGCCTTGAATCCGTGGAGGTCACGCCTGGTCAGATTGCCACCTTTAAGAGAAGACAATGGCATGTCATCTATCAATACCTGCTGTGAGAAGGCAGCAGAAGAGCCCCTTCCAGTTTGCTGAATATTTATTTCCAGAAGCCTCTCATCCATCAAGGCACTGCACTTATGTGCCAAGCCCCAGAAGTTAGAGAAATATTTTTGCAGTGGCCATTGCTGCATGACCGAACAGAGGCTAGGGTTGCAGGCTCCAGTCCTGGGAATGAGTTAGTGATAGCCTACATGACCTCAAAGAAAGGGAAATAGCATGAGTTGCCCTGCTCTGAGCTCTACCCACTAGCTATCCAAGGAAAAGCCACTGCAGCCATTCTCCTAGATGGAGGCCTTACCATTGCTGCAGTAGGGAAGAAGGGAGCAGTAGAAGGAAAATGCAATCCCAGATGGGGGAGTAAGGATAAAGTTGCTCGTCTAATGAGTTGTTTTACAAACCAGGTGAAGTAATAAGATATCAGTCAAGTGCAATCAGTTGGGAGCCTTTAACTAACTGTTTTCCTCTGCTAAACAGTGGACTCCTCCATCAGCTTATCTTGTAAGTGGGGAGAAGCACGCATGCAGAGTCAGCTTTCAGAAGTGATAAAACTACTTTATTCCTTCCTCCCTTTTCTTCCTTCCTTCCCTCCCTCCCTCTCTAAAAGTCAAGGCAAGAGCCTGCCTGACCCTGCACTTACCTTCTCGGTTATAATGCCCTTGCTGTCTCCCCAAGGTACCATGGCTCAAATCCATGGCAGGTTTAGTTTGAAAAATCTAATGAGTGACACCACAGCCCACCAGGCTTTGTTGAGTGCTTAACACAATGGCTTTTTTCAGAACTGACCTTTTCGTTTTCAGTGCCTTGAGATTCACTGTCTTAGTGTGCCAGATTGTCATCAAGTGCTGACTGCTCCACCCCACCATGTGCATTTTTAAAAACTGAGGCTCATCAAGGAGTTTTCAACTGGGCACACCTCCAGGATTTCAGGGTTGCTTTTCTTTGTTCTCCCAGGGTCACCTCAGTACGTCACAAAATAACCAGCCCTTTGTTTCTCTGATTCCCCTTCAATAAAATGGAGCCAATAGCTTACCCCCCTTTTGTGAGGTACTTGGCCATCCAAGGGTAAAAACTGTATAACTATTGTCTACCTGCTTTTCTTATGTCAGCCTCCAGCAGGTTTGCTATCTCGCCTTCGTAGAATTCCTTGGCGCCTTTCAAAGACACTTCAGTCAGCGTTTTCTTCAGGGCTGGCCAATGGAAGGTTTCCCCAGCCTTTGGGAATTTTCCATCCTTACAGAACAGTTGGCTGCTAAGGGAGAACATTGCTGTTTCAGAGCTAGGTTCATAGAGTGCACTTAGTCTGCATGCACCTCCTGGGGTCTCCAGGAGCCCCAAAACTCCTCATTACATTCTACCCTACCAGGACAAAGCCACTCCTTTGATGGCACATTTCCATGGACAAGACTGTTTCCATGATGCTCCTCATGCAAAGCTTCCCTTATTTGGGCCTGTGGCTGTAGCCTTGGCTCAGGATTCAAGCAATTCCCCAGGGGATGGCCCTGCTCTGTCACAGGATAGTTCCTGTACTGAGCTTGTCTTTCAGTTGGCAGAGGAAGCCTTCACACATCTATTGTCCCATCTCCAAATTCCTACTAGGCACACCTCTGTCCTTGTCCTTGCCAAACCGCGCAAGCTGCAGGAATGGTGCTGACCAAGAGCAGGTATTTCTAGTTTCTTCTCTTCTCCAAGATTAGAGACACTTCTCTCAATAGCAGAAATACAAGGCACCACCACCACTGATGCTCTGAGTTCAAGGAGCTGCTTATACAACACACTCTTAGCCCCTGAACCTGTATTTAATGTGCTGCTCTTACCATATGGAAGACTCTTTACTTTTTTTCTGTAAAATAGGATGATTGAGAAACATGCTCAAAACTGGAGGGATGATGATTCCATGCTGAAGGAGCTCGATGGTTGGGTCAAACAGCGATTTCCAAGGCAACCGGCCATAACGCCTGTGCGCTTCTTCATACCCACGAAGTTCTCCAGGGATTCCAATCCATTGGCTCCCTACACACAGAATTATGTTGTCTTATAGCAATAACCCCTGCAATAGCCTTTAAAAAGATCCATTAGCACATCATGCTTACACACCACAGGCAGCTGGACATCCATTACCACCTACCATGTGTACAGAAGGGAAGTGGAACCTAGTACAAGTATCTCAGAAGAGACCTTCAAGGCCTCCATGCCTTGCTAGAGAAGCTGTCTCCTGCAATTAATGCTAGCACAGGCCACTCCACCACTCTCATTAAGCAATAGCACAGGAATTGCTAACCTTGGAAAAGCACAGTGGAAGGTCATTAATGCAGATCTACAACAGTTCAGCAGCAGGGCATAAGAACAGCTGTACCTAGCCCACACATTTACTGTGCCAGGCAGTGACATACAAGAATCTGCTGCATGACACTGCACTGCCTAATTAGCACTGCTGAATGTCAGTGCTAATTAGCCCACTTCTTCAAGGTTTTCATTGCCCTTCCAAGGGAAGTTCTCTTGAATCCCCTGCTGGCAAAAGTGTGGGCCTGTTCCTTTATCAAACAATACATGACCTTGTCTTTCCCAAGCCTCGGCTTCTCTCTGGAGGGTTGTGAAGTTTAATCTATTAGTGAAAGCCCCAAACTGAAGGTGTTAGGGAAGGACAAGACATTGCCACAAATGCAGGAAGGCTCTCACGCAGGTAGAACTTCTGGATGGATCCAGAATCAACCACAGCAGCAACCACATTGGAGGTGTTGGCGTAGCTTTTCCACTGGCTTCAGCACTAGATGGACTTGCACGTCCTCCCAAAGGGAATCAAGGGGTGGGAAGGGATGAGCTGGAAGGATGGTCCTACAGTTACAATACTGGAATGCAGCTTTAAAGTCTCATTCCTGGTTCAACCACAGACCTCCTTGGAGGTTGCTGATAAAACCTGCCGAGCTTGACTTTTCAGACAACCTGAATTGCTCCCAGTGGGAGCAGAGCACTTTTGAAAATCTGATCATTAATATGCAGGCCTACACTGAGGAGCAATTACACACAAAGGCACCTCCTCACTTAGCTTATCTGCTCCCTGCACGTGTTCAGATGCAGGGGCACAACTACCAATTTTAGTGACCAAAGTCCATTTTTTAACTTCTTTTTTGCTTTTGAAGAGTTCTCCTGACTAAGGGAGTGTGCTGGGGTCTGGGCCTTCTTGTGCACTGCTACAACTATTTATTAAGTGGAGACAGTCAGAGCTGTGCAGACCCACAGAAGTGCAGTGGGGGAAGCATCTGAGGAGCAGGGGGTGTCACCCAGTGACCACTAGGGCTGGATTTAGCCAGCAGAACTTCTCTAACTGACCAGCAAACTCAGCCAGGATCAAGAGTGGAAAGTTTCCTTGGCCCTCAGGCACGAGGCTGAGCTTGCTGGATGGTCACCTGCAAAGATACCTCCTATCAGCTTTGTCTGAGGTGGCAGCACTCAGAAACAATGCATGCAGGAACCCAGCCCAGATAGTTCTGTGGTCACTCCTCAGAGTATAGCTGCACTCGGACATGCCCACACACAACTGCAAGAGCAATGAAGGGCTGAGCTGTCAGCTTTGACTGACAGCTAATGTGTCCTGCCTTGGGCCTGACCCTACAAGCTTCATACCAGCATGCAGCACTATTGAGTTAAATGTGACTATGCCCAGGAGCAAGTCCTTTGTGGAAGCATAATGGCTTGAAGGATTGCACACTCTTGGCACTTTCATCAGGTGCAATAACAGCACAGGCACAAAGCAGCTGCTGGGGCTGATGGCATTAGGAGAGTGATAAGACCTGAGTGTGTGCAATCTATTCAGAGGGCTAGCACCAAACCAGGGCCAGGAGGGGTTTTTTGCCTCAGGTTTCTTTGGCCTAGGACAGCAGTTCTCAACCAGGGGTCTGCGGTGCACCAGGGGGTCCGCGCTGCCTGGGGACTGGCCAGACAGCAGTGCCAGGGACAAGTCCCAAGACATGGGTAAGTGCTGCTGCCCTGCTCCCTTTGGAGCTGGCCATGGGGTGACCTCCGAGTGGGAGCAGGAAACCTCCACACGTGCTTGGCTGGCAGCTGCCACTTCTGCGGCTGAAGCCACTGCACTGCACCTAAGGGACAAGGAGGCAGGAGAGCAGTGCTCTGGTGCTGGCTGCTTCCAGGTGGGGGGCTCAGGTTGGGGCCTTTCACCACTCAGAGTCCAGAGCAGCGGAGGGGAGGGGTTAACTCCATGCCACCACCCCCGCTGCTGCTGAGTGGGCATGGAGTGCCTCACCATGGCGGTGCAGCTTGCATGGGGCTTCTGGCAGTGGTAGCACTGAGCCTCCCTGCCCTGCTCCACCCTCCTGTATCGGGTCCTGCTTGCTGGCACACAGAGGACCCTGAGGGGGGTAGCACGAGCCCTGAGCCCCACAGCAGGCAGCCCACATTCTCCCGTCTCCATCCCCCACAGACTCCCCTTGGCTCCTCTCTGGCTGTGCCACCCCTGGGGAGGAAGGGCTGGGCCAGCCGCAGCAGCCACCACCTCCCATATGTGGCTGGCACCTGTCAGGCAGGAGCAGGTAGTATGCAGTTGCTGGGTCCTGTAGCCCTGGGGGCTACCTCTGGAAGGGCAAGGGGATGAAGGGGGTTACAGGTCAGGAGTGAGGAGCCCTGGCAGGGACGGGGCAGGGCTCTGGGTCAGGAGTGAGGGGCACCAGCAGGGGTGGAGGATGTGGGGGCTATAGGCTGGGAGTGAGGGGCTCCAGCAGGAGCAGGGGGCTGCAGGTCAGGAGTGTGGGGCACTGGCAGGGCTGGGAGAGCTGTGACTTGGGAGTGAGGGGCAATTACAATAAATAATTGTAATTTATTTTATGTCAGTTGTCATTTTTTGTACCTATGTTATTGTTTTCTTCTGATATTATGCACTATATGTATGTGCTTAAATGTACAGCTATCAATTTAATACAACTTTTAATCTTCTGTACATGCAGAAAAACAGTTGTGGCACAGGCGGGCCATGGAGTTTTTATAGCATGCTATGGGGGGGGCCTCAGGAAGAAAAAGGTTGAGAACCCCTGGCCTTGGGGACTTCCTTTCTCCTGTCTCTTTCCACCTTCTTCTTACCCAACAGAGCAGAGGGATCTGCATGCTTTTCACAGCTCTGTTTACCTTAGTGCCCAAAGGCAACTGCAGGAAACAACAAATAGCAGCCACCACAGATACAATGCACAGAGCAGTGAGCTTCCAGAGATACTGGACTTCCCATTCAATCAGACAGCAAAGCCCACAATTTCTCCCTCTCAACAGCATGCAGTGGGCTCTCTTGGCATCAAGGTGCATGACCAGGACAATCTGTTCCCTGAACTTACCTGTTGGCAAGGGGTCTTTACATCCAGCCAGGAGATTTTTGGTGAAACCCAGTGGAACACGCTCACGAGCGTTAATCACTTCAACATCTCCTGGAAACAAGAAGGGAAGGCTCATGATTGTCTTTCCCTGAGGTCTCACAAGTTACATTTGTAAAGCGGAAGGCATACAGATGACATGCATGATGTACATGAGAAAGCTGGCAAGGGGTGGAGGCCCATTGGCCCATATGTTGTGGTGTTTTCTGTTTCCAAAGCTAAACCTTGCAGATACTTTGGTGTTTACAGAAGAAGCCTCTTCTTCTTTTCCTCCTAAGCTTCAAAACAGTATATCCCACACTCCTGGGCCCTTGGGTCAGAGTCCCACCATCACAATCCATGATATGCAGGTGATGGTGTTTGGCTGCACAGTCTTTGAATTGGGTTGGAAAGAACGTAAGAAGCCTTGCGAACCCAGGGGTCACACATCAGCATCCCTCCCTCCAGTGGTCTCTCTGCTGTTTGCCAGTGCAGAGAGAGGCAAAGTCTGCCTGAGCAGGTGGCTGGGAATTCTGTGGTTATTGAAGTGCTCTCTAGTTATCCTATAACATTTCTGAACAGTGAGATAAAACCCCAGATGTTTAGATTCAAGGAACTGAATGTTGTCATTCTGAATATTTTCCACAGTGCAGCCTGGGGACAACCCTTGGGTCCTATTTCACCTCTACTTGCACTTCTACCTTCCACCTTTCTTTCTCACAAGCCAGATTATACTTATTTTAGAAAAAGGCTCCAACCAATCTAGAACAATCTGGAACTCATCATTCAGTAGAATTCAAAGACCAGATAATCCCCCACCCACAAGAGAAGTGTCAGAGACCACCAACTCTCTCATTACCCACTGTGTTTTGTTCATGCAAGTCCCTGCAAGCCCTCACCACCCAATACCCTCACTGTTGCTTTGGTACTTCATGCCCATGAGATCAGTATGACTACTGGCAACCACCTAACATTCATAGATTCATAGATTCATAGATTAAGGGTCGGAAGGGACCTAGTAGATCTTCTAGCCCGACCCCCCGCCAGGGCGGGAGAACAACAAAAACCCCAAAACAAGAAACAGGACTCAAACGAGTCCAGCCAGGTAGGCATCCAGCCTCTTCTTAAAGACCCCCAGGGTAGGGGCCAGCACCACTTCCCTTGGAAGTTGGTTCCAGCTCCTAGCCGCCCTAAC